CAGCCCCAGCCCTCTTTCCTTGGCCCCCGCCCGCATCAGCCTACAGAGCTCACTCTTCTATTATTCTGTTTTACAGCCTGGGTGGGGGGCAGAGTGGGGAACTCTCACGCTGTGGGAAGTGCCACCAAGTGCAGAGACAGGGTCTCTACCCCCACCGCCGGAGGACGATCCCTTCAGACGCGGCCTCTTCTGAGGCACAGATTTAGTGCTGGGGGAGGACACTCACGGGAGAGGCAGCCCTGGTCACCGGGCTGCTGGCTCCACCCGGGGCAGCACCTGAACACGGTCTGCGCCTCCATGGCATACACCTGCCTGTGGCCCGTGTAGTAGATGGTTCTAGAAAAGAAGGGAGAAGGGAAACGTTTACCGTGGAGACACAGCTCTGGCGGCACGTCCCGCTACTTTTGGCTCTCACCCACCCACCCCTCCCCACGCTGGCTCCCCGACTGTTCCCTTCAGGTCCAGGCTCCGAGGTGGGGGGAAGGTCTGTGAGCCACACCCGCACGAAGAGGGGCAGCAGGGCACACGTGGCTGCCCTGGAGCCAGGACCAATGGCCCCGGCCAGCTCCGCCCGTGGGGCTGCTGCCCCCTTCCCTCTCCACCCCTGCTGGGGCCCAGCTCCAAGCCAGCGTCAGGACGGGCATAGCATCCCACGTCTGGCCCCAGGCCAGGTTTGAGGCCTTCGGGGTCAGACTCAAAATGTCCAGCCGAGGACCAAGAGTGGCTTCCAAGGTGCCCAAGGCTAGGCAGGCTGTGCCCTGGATAGTGCCAGTTCAGACCCCAGGCTCCCAGTACACCAGACAGCAGGACCACCCCGAGCGCTCGCGGTTTGCGAGGGCCTTCTTCCCCACCTGCGGGGTAGAGGGTTGAGCCGAGGACCCAGGGTGACGGGGAGGACAGCTGTGGACAACAGCAGAGGGGCCAGACTGTGGTCACACACAGCACTGCCGTCAGAGGGGAGCAGGCGGGAGGGACCCTCAGAGGAGATGGGACAGGGCGGCCTGGGTCCAAGGCCGGTTCCTGTTCAGGATGGGGGCAGCTCTCACAAAGGCTGAGCGGAGAGAGACAGAGCCCCAAGCAGGAGCTGGGAGGGGGTCCACGCTGGAAGGAGGCACCCGGGTCTGGCCAGTCTGGGGCCTGGCACGGGCAGTGCCCATAGGAGGGCGTTGAGTAAACCAGAAAGAGACCAGCTCCCCTGGAGGCTGCCCCAGGCCACCTGCAGCCCCAGGACCTTTGGGGCCGCCCTCTGGATGGCGGGCTGGCCAACCCCAGCCTCCACCCTGCTTCTCTGCACAGCAGCAGGCCCCACAGGGTGGCCTTGGAGGAGCAGTGGTCAAGGGGTCCACCTCCCACAGTCCTGGGACTCGCCCCGCGGCCTTGACCTTGGAGCCGCAGCCAGGGTGGGGGGCAGAAGTGCCTTGGTCCCACATCGCCCACACAGCCCCCCGTCTCAGTGGCACCCCACAGCCCCAGGCTCCTACATCCTGGCTCCACTTCTGCCGGGCCTCAGCCTTCGGAAGGGTCTCTGCCATTCCGGAAAGCTCCGTTCCCCCTTGTTCAGAGTGAGTTACAACTGACTCTCCCTCCTCATCCCTGCCCCGCCCACCTCCACCCTTACCCGGTGACGGTCAGCCAGACGGACAGCTAACTGCCCCAGCCCGGCCTCTCTGTTCTCACCTAGAGGCGAAGACTGCTGACCTTATTTGGAAGCAGGGTCTCTCCCAATGGAAACAAACTGAGAGGAGCCCGTACTGACTTCGGGTGGGCTCGCAGTCCAAGGACCGACGTCCTCGGAAGACAGGGAACGGTCACAGACACACCGTTGGAGGGCCACGTGACCACCGCGGCAGAGACTGGGGAGAGGCAGGTGTGAGCCAGGACACGGCCACCACCACGACCCGGGGCAGGGAGAGGCCTGGGACAGAAGGAACCAGCTGTGCCCACACCTGGGTCTCAGGCCCCCAGGCAGAGAACACTGAAGCCCCGCCCCCACAGTCTGCCACAACCTGTTACAGCAGCAACAGGAAACTAACGAGGGACCGGGTGCTCAGCCCCTGCCCTTGGGCCCGTGGCTGTGAGGTCCTTGTGTCCACGGGACAGGACTGGTCACAGGCCGTGGGGAGGTGGGCGGGAAGGCCGGGGAAGAGGGACAGAGAGCGGAGTAACAGAACAAAAGGAAGGGGGTGACCCGAGGCCACCCCTGCCCCACCGCTGTCTGTGGGAAAGGTGACCGGGGCTCGTCCAACAGCCATGGGGTCAAGGACCCTTGAGCCCCGGGAGCGGCCCGAGGGCCCGGCCTGCCCTTTCCAGGTGAGCAAACACCTTCCTGCCTGCTGGGGCTTGGCCGCAGGGAGCCGTGGGAAACCCACGGCCACCCTGGGGACCGGGACCCCACCAAGAAGGCAGGCCACTTCCCGGAAGCGTGAGTTCATGTGCCCGCTGCACACAGCAGCTCGGGAGAGCTTTGCAAAACATCACTTCGGCAGGACATGAAACCGCTTGCCTGGAGAGACACCGACCGCAGCAGTGGACGGCTCTTGGCAGAGCAAACGGTGTTCGGGCCCTTCCGCCGTAAATATTTATCCCTCTCCCGGGGCTACGTGCTGCTGCGCGCGGTCGCCCGGAGAACGGAGCCGGCCGGCCCATCTGCCACCTCCCCGCGCTCCCGCCCTTGGGAGTTAGAGACCCCTGCGACACAGCTGGTGGGCCTACTGCCCCGTCGCTCCCCTGCAGCCCACACGGGACACCCCATGCGGGCTCTGGCCACCGCCGGGGAGCTGGCTTAGGGCAGGGCCAGGGGCGACAGGGGGTGGGGGGTCGGGCGGGCCTGGAGGGAAGGGTTCTGGGAGGGCTCCGGGCTCCTCCAAGCACCCTTTCCCTCCCTCCTCCCCCTGCACAGGCCACACCCCCCCAAAGGGCAGGGGGCCTTTCCCGTGGGCTGGGGAGCCCCTCCCCCCGGCACAGCCTGAGCTGGCTGGTGGTTTGTCGGGGAGACCCTCCTGATGCGCCAGGAGCTGGCAGATGGGGAAAGGGGGCCAGGGGGCAGGGCCGGCCACCCAGACAAGCTTGGGCCCCTGTGCGTTCCTGAAGGATGAAGGGGACCGTGCCTGGCAGAGGCCACAGCCTCGACGGCCACTGGAGAAACGTCCGCACGAGGCATGTGGGCAACTGCCCCCAGATAGCACGTGGGGCTCGGCTGTGGCACCGCGGGAGGGGACACACCCACTACGGCGCAGCGGGCGCCCCACAGAAGGGAAGCGGTTAGCACAGGTCGCAGAAACCCTACAGGACACAGAGGTGGTAAGACAGCTCTCATCCACGTGGGGTGGAGGACCATGGGGGGAGCAGCCCACGTGGCTGCATTCCAGGCCAGGCACCCCCACCCCCCGCAGGCCAGGGACCCAAACTGCCCCAGCCCCATCACCTCAAGCTGGGCCAGGAGAGGATGCCAGGAACCCGTTCCGCACGTGGCCCCTCCTGAGCCTTCCCAGGAGACCCCCACACACAACACAGACCACTCCCCACTCCCTGGCAGGAAACGTGGCAGAGACCCATGGCCCCCGCCCCACGTGACCGGGCAGCAAGGCCCTCGCAGACAGTGGGACTTTCCTCCCAGGGCCCCAGACGCTCCGCCAGGAGACTGAAGGTGCCCGGATGCTCCCGCCCCTACCCAGGCCAGCCTGGGGACCAGCGACAGGGAAATCGGGGAACTGTCCGCCCTGGGGGCTCCCTCAGCGCACACGTACACCCCCCCCCCCCCCCCACGCTCCAGCCCTGGGACCACGGGGCCCCTGGCAGCTTCTAGAAACAGCACCTCTCCCCACGGGTCGTCGTGGGGACACGGCTGACGTGACCTCATTCCCGATCTGTGAATGCTGGTGGCCGCACACACGAGGAGGCCCGGAGGACCGCACAGAGCACACCTCTGGGGGCAGCAGGAGGGCAGACATCTTCCTTCTGCCCCCGGTTCCCAGCGTCGACGCCCCTGACCTTTGGGCAGGACCCTCCGTGGCTGAGGGGCCACCTTATGCCCCACGGCACGGGCAGCGGCATCCCTACCCCCACCCGCTGGCTATGGCGCCCACCCTCGGCGCACCTGGAACAAGGGACGCTGCCCTCAGAGACCACCAAGGGCCCGCGGAGGGAGCTGGCACCCCACACGGATGACGCCACGCAGGCGTCCCTCGAAGGCCACGCTGCGAAGCTGGACGCCACGCCCCACGTGAGGACCGCTCCCACCTTCCCTGCACCTAATGGGGAGCCGCCCGAGCTGAGGCCCCCCCACCATCCGGCTCTGCAGTCGGGCAGATTCCAGAGAGAGGAGAGGTATGCAAAGGCACTCCTTAATTTGATTTTGAAATAAAATCTTGAGCAAGAAAAGGTTTGGCACTGGCTCCCCTGGGGAATGAGGCCCAGGGCTCGGCCGAAGCAGCTCCCACAGGGCACTCAGCGGGCCGGGCACCCCACTCTTCCCCTCTCGTGTGGCCAGCCACTGCCCCCAGCACCCCACCTCGGCCACGGGACCCCCGTCCTCCTCAGAGCACCCTCCCAGGGTCCCCTCCTCCCTGCAGGGCCCACTGAGCAGCAATGCTCCGTCTGTGAGCTGCCCTCCGGGGCGGGAAAAGCTTTGGCATCAGGCGCAGGGCAGCGGGAAGGGGTGTGGACGGCCCTGGGACCAGGAGAGCCCCCCCCAACCCCGGCCGCCCGCTCGCACACCGGACCTGGGGCCCCAGCACATACCTCCGCTCGTGGCTGACACACCACGCCTGCCGCCCGCAGCCCGGCTTCCACACGGGCACGGTTCGGCTGAAAGCCTGCACACAGGGCTGGGTTCGGCCCACCAGGGTCAGCTCCTGCTCGGCGCACACGTGCGGCCTGGGACAGAGGACAGATGGTCAGTAGGCCCCAGTCCAGGGCGTGGAGCCACCAGGGGTGGGGTGCACAGCAGGGCCAGGCCCCACGGTGCCCGTCCCAGGCCTGCGGCAGGGCCAGGCTCGAGGTGTGGGAAGAGGACGAGGAGGGACGGCCACAGGGCCACATCCTGCAGACCCCCTGCAGGGGCCCCATACCACCCACAGGACTATTGTAGCTTTGCCCAGACAACAGGGGCCTGAGGGTCAGCGGGAGCAGTGACACGGACCCCGCGTCCGTGTGACTCCCTTCCTAGGCCCCCACCTCCCAGCCATCCTGGCCTCAGAGATGTCCCCTGAGCTGCCCCCGCTGGGCACACGGAGTTCGCTCCAGGTGGGACAAAGTGTGGAAGGCGGGGAGCCTCCAGGGAACGTGGAAGGGGTGCAAGGCGGAGCCCTCTGATGTCAGTGGCTCCCCAGTGCCCTTGACCCCCCCGCCCCCAAATAAGGACAGGAGGGTGCCTCTCTCGGGAAGGAGGTGGTTATAGGGAAGGGGCCTGGGAGGTGGGGGGAGGGGCAGCTGCCCCAGCCAGACACAGGCAAATTTCAAATTTTGGGAGACAAGGCACAAAGTTTTCGAGGCCAGCCAGATTCCACAGCCTCTGAGGAAGGGGATGGGGGGTGGGCTCGCCTCTCCCGTGGACACCCTCAGGGTCACACAACCCTGTGGGCTCACTCCCACTGGCCACTCTCCCATCCCCTAGTCACCTGCGTGACTTCTCCCGAGGCCCGTGGGCCTGGGCTCCCCCTCCGGCTCTGCTGCTCCCTCCACAGCCCCCCAAAACAGTCCCCTCTCTGCTGGCTGCCCACTGGCCTCCCGGGGACGGGGGTGAGCGCGGCACCGATCCCCTCGGGGGAGTTCCCAGCCCTTCGGAAGCACAGCTTGGGCCAACTTTTCCATCTTCGGGGCGGAGGAGGTGGGATGGGGGAGGGAACAGACATAGAGACGAAGTGTCAGCCCAAGTCGCAGGACAGTCACAGGCCTGTCCTTGCAGTTGGCTCCTGGTTCCCATCTGGAGAGGCAAGGCAATTCCCAGACTAGAAAGCAAACAGTTCCGTGGGACATCTGCTCCCGGGCAGAGAGGGGCTCCTGGAGGCCGGCGCCTCAGCCCAGAGCCGAGGAGAAGGTGGGCACGTGAGGCGTCCCTTTGGGGCAGGCGGTTCCAGGCCAGCAGGCCCCAGGATGATGGCCCCAGGGTGAGGAGACAGGAAGGGGAAAAGCAGGCGGGGAGGGAGAGGCAGGCAGCCCCGCCCAGCTGGCGAAGCCGG